TTACGATCGGGTAACCCGTGATCGTACCCAACCCTAGCAATACCGATACAAGGGGTGTTGGTCATCAGCATGACAATTATTTATAAAATAAAAAAATACTATATAGAAGGTTTTATTAAACCTATAGGACTCCATAGTCAAAATAAAATTTAATGCTCTTTTGTTTAAAAAAATTAGCTTACTAATAAGTTGATTTTATCAGATTTTAAGAAATTATTAATAACTATCTTTTTAAACAGATAAGAATTAAATCTTACTTTTGGCTATAAAGTTTTACAGCTCTAATAAAACTTTCTATATAGCTTTTTTTATTTCATTATCATTATAATTATTTAAAAAGTATTCTAAATTATATAAATAATATAAAATTAAATTGAATTTATTAGCTAATCAAACAAACTTCTGCTTTAATAATAAATGTATAAACAGTAATAGTAATAATACATATATAGTAATATTTTATAGCTAATCATATTTAGTTAAATTTTTTTTTATAACATAATAATATATGTATATATATATATATATATATAAATTAACTATTACTCTTTTTATTCATTAAATATCATAGATATTAGTTGCTCTTCTTCATTTTTTCGATCTTGTAATCTTTTACAATTTTTAATTCACTGAAGCCTTTCAAAGCTAAAAGGTTTAAAAAGAAGATCAGAGAGAGCACGAACTCGAGACACTGCTACAAAAGAAAGACCAGCTGCAAACTCTTTATTTTCAAGATCTATTACAGCATTTGAAAGAGTAAGTCCCTGACTTTTATAAACTGTAATAGCCCAAGCAAGACAAATAGGTATCTGTATTCGTGAGCACATTATCTCAGATTTATTTTCCCAAGTACGTTGAATAGGTACTATTGGAACAACATTTACACCTTCTAATATTCTAATAGCAGGACCATTATAATTATCGAAAGCAATAAAAACTGCTACAGAAAGAAAAGGTGGACTATTCTTATTATACAAAATGTCATAAATAGTTCCTATTGATTCATTAACTAATCCAGCTTCTGTCTATAGATTTGCTGTTAACTCAAGCATCTTTAGCTAATAAAAGTTGTGTTTCAAGACCTTTAACAATATTAGAATCAGCTTTTTTAGCTTCTTGATCACCAGTATGTTTAGCAAGAACTTTGACAACAGGATTCTTTAAAGATTCAAGTTTATTTAAGTTAACTGCATCAACTTCAGACCATTTTAGTAATATGAACATAGCATTTAAAAATCGATCACGTTCAGTTCTATTATATTTTTCTTCAATACGTGTAGTAAATGTTTTCCAATCTTCAAATGTAGATTCGCCATTGCGTAATCTTAAAAGAATTTCTCTAAAAATTTGTTGCTCTCTAGAATCTCCAGATTGGCATTAAATAATATTAAGTTTATACACTTCACGAAACTGATCATATGATACAATACTACTATTAGATAATGGATTTCTTAAAATATTAGTAGTATATATAGGGAGGTCAAGTACTGAAGGAAGTTGACCAAAATCTCCAACCATAATAATAGATCGACCACCAAAAGGTTCATTTTTATGTTTAGGAAAAGCTTGTTGTAATCAAATATCAATTAAATTGAGCATTCGACGTCCAACCATACTTTTTCATCAAGAATTAAATATTTTACATTTTGTAGCTTTGTTTGTAGTTGCTTTAACTGTTCACCTTTCAAATCAATATTATTTCCAATTTGCATTAGAATAAAAAGTGTTGAATAAATAGTTGCACCATTAATATTATATGCAGCAACTCCTGTTGGTACAAGTACAAGTACAGGTGGTTCAGATCTAATCCCTGCAATTCTACAAAGTTGACTTCTAATTGCTCTAATAAGATTAGATTTGCCTGTTCCTGCTGTTCCCATGACAATGATTTTTAATGGTTCAACTTGAAAACCAGAAAGTATATTTTGGTAATGTGTCTCTATTTGTTTAAAAACCTTTTGTTAATTTTCATTTAATGTTTGATAATCAACAGTATCTATAATTCTATTTTCATCTCTTTCTGTTCTTGCATTATTAGAAGCCTAATGAATAAATGTATCAATATCTGTAAGATCATTAATAGATTAGTGCTGTCTAGCATCATTTGCCCAATCAAAGTTAATATCTATATCACGAGATCCTAATTCAGAAAATCTATTTATAACTAAGTTTGGACCCATTGCTGCTAAATGCATCCAATCAAGCTGAAATTCATTCTCTTCATCTTCAAATTCATCCAAATCTTCTTCAATATTTTCATTTTCTATTTCATCTACTGTATTAATTGGAGAATCAAGTAGATCTATTGGATCAGCATTAATCTCTCAAGATAATGATTATATATATTTGACCATTCCAAAGTATTATTTGCAGTTAGCTGTTTAAGATATCGATGTCTAACATGAAGAAGAACTTTGATGCGACAAAATTCTTCCCATTGAGGACTATGGTATAGAGATGATGGATGTGGCCATATACGTATAATATTTTCTTGTTTACATTTTATTTAACGACCATTAACAAATTTGTATGTTAAGTAGAGTTGATACAAAGAGAAATTTTCAAATTCAAATGATTGACCCCAATATATTTTCAAAGGTGATTTTGATGTTAATCCTGCATTTCTAATTGACATAAATTCGTTATTTTCATTGCTACCAGTATTACGAAGCCATCTTAGTGCTTCTTTATTTAGATTTAAAGGGATAAATGATCGATTTGAGTGATAAAGAGAGATACCAAGGAGAATATGACAAGTTTCTTGTGCTAAAATATCATGTTCTGCAATACTATGTATTAGTAATTTTTGAGCTATTGAAATTACTGAATTATCAGATCTACTATTAGATATGATCTGATTTAATATTTCTGAAAAAGCAGCAGAACGTGACTCTGCCTTGCTTGCATATTTTGTAATATATTGTAAGGCTGCATGAATACTTAAAATTGGTTTAATATCTACATTTGCTCGCCAACCTTGTAACTGAAGTCGACTATGTAGATTAATATATGGATTATTTCTTGCTATTACAAGTTCTGGTTCTCCACGACTATCTTTATGCAAAAAAGTATACTCATTATTATCCTTAGGAAAACCAAATCTGCAGAATTGTTGCCCAGTTCGATCAACACAAAGACAATATATAGTACTACATCGTGTATGCTATTGTAATTTATTAATTAAATCAATATAATCTTGTAAATCATCATATATCTCATTTTGACGTTTTTGATATGGATGCCAATTAGGTATAGGTGCATCAAGTCCTGGATTCATTGTGGTGATTTGTGAATTAAGATACTGTATAACTGTATTCATGATTTGATTGTTATTTTTTATTTGTTTCCATTCAATTATAGGAGCATTCTGTTTCTTTTCTATACCATGTACATGTATGCTACCATGATGTTGCCACTCAAATCTATACCACTAGTCTTCTAAATCCCATTGCTGTTTTAGCACATCATTAAAAAAAATCTCAAACCACTTGTTAAAAAACCAAACAGCAATATGAGGATTGTCAATAATATTTTGACGTCGGCAATTTGCAGAATCATTTCCTTCCTCTACAAGATTTTTTTGTGATTATATAAGATTATGAAGTTCAGGTCAGTGCATATCTGTAGCACTAAAAGTAAAGAATACTAATTCTTGTAAGCCTAATTGTTTTATCATATCTGATAATTCGCAATGAAGTGCAGCCCAAAATTGCCGAGTTTTATGCAAACCAACACCAAATCTCATAATTTTGTTAGCCATATGTATATCACCTTCAGCAATCATATTTCGAATATCAGTAACAGTAAGCTGATCATCATTTAAACTTTACCTAACAAAAACTTTCCTTCTTGTAGTGCTCTCCATCACATTAGAGAATTTAATGCAAAATAATGCCAATGAGAGTGACATACAAATCTTCCATCTTTAAATTAGAGAAAATGCTTAAAGTATTTAGCTGGTTTGACATCTTTAGCATGTTCTGCATTAAAGTCAGCACAACCAGTTAGATATAAAGTTGGAAATGCACGTACAATATATCCTGGAGTTTGAAATTCATTAATTGGTATATTGTCAATATATGGCCATATTATTGGTAAATCTTCAGACTCCAGATGATTAAGAGCATTATTAATTGCAACATTCTCATGATCAGTTGGTGGAAGAAAAAGTACAAAGAAATGTGTAATTTCATCTTCATTTTCAATATTTGAATCATCATCTGTTTCATTAGTTTGAAGTTGTGGAAGCTGGTCATCTATATAACCATCTTCAGGCAAAGATTCAAGTACTTCATTGTCGATAGTAATATCAGTATAATAACGATTATTTGCTTTTAACCAATATAGTGCATTTGCAACAATATTATGATGAACTATAAAGTCTCTGAATGCAGTAGAATCATTTGCTAATTGATGACGCACAATTAGTATATTTAATGTCAATGGATGTCGAGGAAGCTGTGTAGTAAATTCTTGTATATCTTGAGGAAAATTTATAACATTTCCTCTATAACCAAGTTGCCTACCATGAAGTTTATATACTGACATTACAGTAAAAACTTGTGCTATTAACATTTCTTCTACTTCTGTTAAATCTTGAAGCTCCTCAAGTATTTTACCTGGATCCATATTATTTGCAGCAGAAAACTTTTTTGGTAAAACCTTTTCACCATTGCAACGATGATACATCCTATTGACAAGTACTATAGATGGAAAACGTTCATTGCATATAGTGCAGAGAACATATTGAAGCTTACTCATTTTAGTGCAAAATTTTCTCAAAAGTTCTTGTTCGACTTCATTTAATTCTGTGGCTGATTGTAATTCGATACTTATTTCTGCAATATTATCATTTTGAGACATAGCTATAATAATCTCTTCATTTTCAGATGTATTATCAATATTTTCAATTTGAGATGAAGTAGAAATATTTTCATTAATTGGATGTATACTTTCTACATTTACTGATATTACAGGTCATTCTGATTTTTGCTGAAATTAGCATTTGTTCTTGCTTTATGATGTTTTCTTTCTCTATCTCGAGCAAGATGTAATTCACATTCTTGGGCAGTTTCTGTTACTCTTTTTGAAGCCTTCTATTCTGATCATTTGAAAGACGTTCTTGACACTTTTTAAGTGACTCTTTTTCTCTATATCTACATTGTCAGTGTATATTACTGTAAATTGATTTTTATTTATAATTTTTTTAATCTTTAAAATAATGAACGTTAATTGCACTAATGAATTTTAGAATTTTAAAACTATAACATACACTGTATCATCCATTATTAAAAAAGCAAATTGGTAAACATTTAATCATATAAATAGATAAAGTTTATATACAAATTTGATTTTTAACTATATATATTTATTATTTAGAATTCTCTTTAAACATCTAAAAGTTTATCCTTTTTAAAAATTCAACCTACTGTTTAAATACTTTATTTATTGCAGCCTATACCTTTTTCACTCAACAATATCTCGCGCCAATTTTCTTTAACTTTTTTCAATAATTTTATATACTGTAATTTATACAATTTTAGTTGCATCTAATACGTAATTATACTATTATAATGAATTTAATTTTATAATCTTACCCTTTTTTGTGTAATTGATTATTTACCTAAGTATTGTAATTGTTAAAGCCTCAAAAGAGGTAGTTTGCATATTGATAATTTATTTATTGTGGCCTATACCTTTTTCACTCAGCAATAATATCTTGCGCCAATTTTCTTCAATAATTTTATATAATTTACAATTTTAGTCACATCTAATATGTAATTATGCTATTGTAACGAATTTAAATTTATAATCTTACCCTTTTTGGTGTAATTAATTATCTAACTAAATTAGTATCGTAATTGTTAAAGCCTCGAGAGAGGTAGTATGCATATTAATAATATTGATATAAGGCTAACGCGATAGCGTGTGCTTCTGATGTCATAAAGTGGGCTACAGAATGTTCTCTTTCATATGTATAAAAGTGAAGCATTAATTATAATAAACGGAAGAACCTCATTCTCATAATAAAGTAACCTGAATATAATGATATTCTCTCCTTAATTACACACCATCATTAAGTCACTCTAATAGAATTACCATACCCTATGGAAGCCTTTTATTATTCAATCCACATAACTTCTAGTAGTGGTTGGGCGTCGCTCTTCCAACCACTATACACATTGACACTGTTGGATCTGTGTATACGATTACTTTTTTAGGTATGGCTTAATTTTTGAAGAACCGCTAATATATTTTCTATTTTTGGATTATTTGCACTATTCGTTTCCAACAAGTTTGTGCCTGCCCATGTGCTTGGAGTTGTGTTGCTACCCTAAAACATTTTAGCAGTCAACCAAATTTTTAGATCAGGTGTATTAAAACTTCAATGTGCTACGTAAAAAAGATTGCTCCGCATTAATAAGGTTCTTTCTAACTTAATTTAACAGCAAAATTTTTTAGTGAAATCTTTGGGTTGGTGATGCTAGAGTTTTAGTAAAGTTTAAATTGGCTGACTTGAATAAATAAGTGGCGCATTTCGAGAATAAGTACGTAGGATTTTTTAATATTATTTAATAAAGTAACCTGAACATGATATTTATTCTCTTCTTAATTACACACATCATTAAGTCGCTCTAATAGAATTACTATGTCTTATTGAAGCCTTTTATTTTTCAATCTACATAACTTCTAGTAGTGGTTGGAGCTACACTGTGCATTCATAGTGCATCGCTCTCTCAACCAACCATTATGCTATACACATTAGCACTGTTGGCTCTGTGTATACGATTACTTCTTTAGGTATAGCTTAAGTTTTGAAGAACTGCTAAGTAATATATTTTCTAGATTATTATTTAACCGTTGCACCATTTGACCTTTTTTTAGCTTCTTTGAGTGTTTCCAACAAGTTTTGCACCTGCCCATGCGCTTGGAGTTGTGTCGCTACCTTAAAACATTTTAGCAGCCAACCAAATTTTTAGATCAGGTATATTAAAACTTCAATGTGCTAAAAAAGATTGCTCTGTATTAATGAGGTTCTTACTAACTTAATTTAATAGCAAAATCTTTTAGTGAAATCTTTGGGTTGGTGAAGCTAGAGTTTTAGTAAAGTTTAAATTGGTTGACTTGAATAAATAAGTGGCGTATTTTGAGAATAAGTACGTAGGATTTTTACCAGTACGATCACATGAAATGTGGAGAGATGGTTGCGTTCGACTTTTTGGTGCGCTATATTATTTCCTATTTTAGAAGGTATTATAGTTATCACTTTTTTCCTATTTTAGAAAATCATATGTCATAATTACTTCATACAATACGAAAATTACAAGTTAAACTCTGTAGATCATTTATGACGCAAGGCTGACATCATATTAATTTCGAAATTTATTATGATGCAAACTGACGTTAATAAATTTTATGACCAAATTTTTTAAATTCATTTTTTTGAATTTTGGACGTTCGTTGAGGGTTCGTTGTTTCATTTTCACTATGGTTTTTTTTTTTGAGCGCGATTTCGACTTTTTTTGATGCCATTACTAATATCTTTTTTCTTTTTTGTAGGTCTTGTACTTCGTCGGAAAGGGCTAATAAGAACCGTTGGTAAATTACAGTTGTATTCATAAATTCTGGGACACCTAAAAATTTTCTCGTTTCTTTCTTCGATCTCATTTTAAGAATCATCCAACTTTTTGGAAACTATTTCTGAAAAGTTGGGTAATTCTTGGAACAAGATTCGGGAAATGAGAAAATTTTTAGATGTCCCAGAATTTATGAAAACAGCTGTAGTTGACAATGTTGTGTCATGTCTGCAAAATAAGTATCAGTGAAATGATGCCGATTCCATTATCATTAGGGTCGGGTAGAATTAAATTAAGGTTGGTGCAATTTTCAAAAAAACATGCTGGTAAAATTTTACCATTCGTTTCTTTTTTAAGCTCGAGTTTCATCTCTAACCACTTATTGTTTTCATCATAATTATAGTTACGAAGAATCGGTAACATACTTATTATAATTTACTTAATGAAGAATAATCGAATTTGCACATGCACGTATACGCGATCGTACTGGTCCTGCATAGCGTCGCACGTCGCGCAGCTACCCTAATTAATAGTATTTAATAAAGTAACCTGAACATGATATTTATTCTCTTCTTAATTACACACATCATTAAGTCACTCTAATAGAATTATTATGCCTTATGGAAGCCTTTTATTTTTTAATCCACATAACTTCTAGTAGCGGTTGGAGCTACACTGCGTATTTATAGTGCGTCGCACTCTCAACCAACCATTATACTATACGCATTAGCACTGTTGGCTCTGTGTATACGATTACTTCTTTAGGTATGGCTTAAGTTTTGAAGAACTACTAAGTAATATATTTTCTAGATTATTATTTAATCGTTGCACCATTTGACCTTTTTTTAGCTTTTTTGAGTGTTTCCAACAAGTTTGCGCATGCCCATGTGCTTGGAGTTGTGTCACTACCTAAAACATTTTAGCAGCCAACCAAAATTTTAAATCAGGTGTATTAAAACTTCAATATGCTAAAAATGGTCTAAATCCGATAGTTTATATGTCCAAATAACAATACTGAAAACTATAGATGAAGATTTCATATAATGTAATATTTAGGACAAGGAAATACTATGGTTTTTAGATAAGTATATTTCAAGAATGGATAAAGTCATAGATATTCTTTTATTTGCTTTAATAATCTAAAATCTATACTTCGGCTTTCTTTAATGAATTAAGATATTTTACAGATGTAAATTATTAGAAGTAGTGTTGTCATCGGACATATGTCCAATAATTTTGAAAACAATTGGACATATGAAATTTTATATGTCCAATATTTTTCAAAATTATTGAACATATGTTCAATGCCAACACCGATTAGAGACTAATGAATAATAAATTTAAATTTGGTAAAATATACATGACCGTTTCCTTAGCAATGGATCCGTATTGATTCACTGACAATCACTTTACCGACAGCTCATTTTGACGACATCACGCCAGGTGAAATTTAGTAAAAATATATACCTGCAACCAATGAAATGCTTAACCCTAACCCTATGTGATGTCGGCTAAATAATCGTTCGGTGAAATGATTGTCGGTGAATCGAAGGGATCCTACGTAGGTACGTACGTACGTACGTACATAGATGTTTATGTTTGCTAGGTACGACTTTTAGGAAATGTTATTGGTGATCCTTTCTTTATACATCAATTATTTTTAGCCATTTATTACTTTAATTAACGTTTCATATATGCAAGTGTTATAGGATGATCATAATATGATGCGTACCAGGTTGGTAGTTCTTGCTGATCTACGAATCAGCTTTCAAGATTAGGTGTAACGTAACACAATCAAGAAGATTCGTTCGTTCTGCAAAAAGTCGCTCATAATTCATAAATCAGTATAAGAAACCACCTTTTGTGCTCTAACAAAAAGGTTCGCTGGACAATTTTACTATTAAAACTACTACCCTCTAGCACTTAATCCTGACCCTAACCTTAACCTTAACGAATTTTAAGAAGTTTGTCTGCGCCACCAACTTGGTGCACCTTTTCCAATTGCGATCATTAATCAATTCTTAATTTGTGATTGTGAATAAATTTATTACTGTACAGTAATTAACGTTGCCAAGAGGTTCATATATGCAGGTGTCATAGGATGATCATTAATCAATTCTTAATTTGTGATTCAATTCTTAATAATTTGTGATTCAATTCTTAATTTGTGATTGTGAATAAATTTATTACTGTATAGTAATTAACGTTGCCAGGAGGCTCATATATGCAGGTGTCATAGGATGATCATTAATCAATTCTTAATTTGTGAATAGTGATGGGACCTTTTAATTATTAATAATAATAATATTAATTATTTAGCTGAGTTATTTAAAAACTAATTAATAATATATAGCGCAGCTAAAGACAAGGGAATACGATGCAATCGAATTTATCACATTTGTATTATGTAATCAATCTGATTTATCACGTTATCTCATGTGTAAAATTCAATTTTGTTAAACGATATCAAGTTATTAATTATTAAAAATGTTAATAACGCATTATTAATTTTTTATTATTAACTAAAAACTAAAAAAGTCCCATCACTAATTATTAACATTACGTACGTATTCAATTTTGTTGGTTTGTTTTTGCCTTTTATGGCTTTTATAGTTTGTAGTACATTGATATTTTTGGTCATTCTTGTGTTGTATCTATTTGATTTGAATGTATGATTTTCAAAACAACTTCTTTATAATTATATAAAAGGAAAAATCTACACACTCCTTTTTTATATATGTTATTATTATTACTAGCTACTAGCTACAATAAGAAACTGGGGTATTAATCGTAAGTATTGGATACAACAATTTTGATCATATTTATTATTTTTGAATGGTTGTTTTAATTTGTGAACGGTGTTTATCGATTTTTTACATCTTTTTTTGCACTCTTTTGCAGGGTAGATTAAATAATAATCAGTGATCATCAAAGGTTGAAATGTAAAAATCATAGTGAAAGAATTTGGTTTTAGAGTTATGTTCAAGGCTTGTAATTATTAACATGATATGAGGTGTTACCAATAATGAATTTATATCAACAAATTACCTGTGTTGTAAAGTTTTTTGTGTATATAGAAGTGTAATCTGATTGGTTGTTTTTTGAATATATTTATATTAATAAATATTCTATTTATTATGATTCAGATTTGACATGAACACTAAGCCTATTGTATGTTTGCATTAAAAGAGATCTGACTAGCATGACAGATTTATTTATTACCACCAGTGTTGTTATATTTACTATGTCTAAGACTTTTTTTACCCATGTCTATGTCCAAATGTCCATAGTGTCCACAATTGTTCAAAGAATATTTAGGCTTAAAAATTTAATAGGTTAGTTTAAAAAAGATATAATTATATATTTTTTAAAGTTCTGAATATTTTTGCTTAGAAGATTAAAATAGGTTATTTTAATAAAATTTTGAGTAATTTAGATTTGTTTTTTTATTCAGAATTGTCCACTATTGTCCACAATTCATCCAAAGCTGTCCTGTGCTAACACTGATTACCACTACTCAATTTTGATTTTGTTGGTTGTTTTTGCTTTTTATAGCTTATAGTATATATTTTTGGTTGTTCTTGTATTTGAGTGCTGCCAAAGAAA